GGAATTACCATTTGTTGCTGCTGTTGGAGGAAACAAGCCAAAATAAACACGCCTTGCCACACCAGGACTGTGAGTAAAGTGTTTTATTGAACAAGTTTCAACAAACTACAGCGGAAGCTGACATTCTCTCTGCCCCAGACAGCGTTCTCGAAAAAAATGCAATGGGCGCCTCCGTGCAGTCTGGGAACTTGTGGCTCAGGACGGCTCCGACTCTATGGAGAGGCATCAAAAGTCAGGATTAGCGGTAGGGTCTCGTTGTACTGGACCAGTACGCTGTTTGACATTAGCAAGTCTTTTAGCTGTTTGAAGGCTAGTGCTTCCTTCTGGCCCAAGGCCCATGGCGTTTTCTTTTTCTTTTTTTAAACAAGTTTTATTAATTTTCAAAACACACAAGTCATCATTATCCATTACATATTTGAACCTTTTTCCATTATAAATTTAACAAGTCAGATGAAGTATAATTCTGTTTTAAACCATTTCCATATAAACATACAAAAACCTCTTATCCATTTTCTCTTTATTTCTCTTTACTCTTATTCCATTTTATTATTATTATTTCATCTATTTCTTTCTGACTTAGTTACCATTATTCTCATTCTATATTTCTGCAAGGTTTCATTAATTCTCCCCCCCAAAAAAAACATATATACACAACACACAAAACATAAAAAAAGATCTTTTTGGAAAGTAACTTGGACCCAGGTATCTCTTTCTTCATGGACTTCAATTGTATTCATGCTCATTTTACATATCATTACTTATTTTATTTACCATTCTAAGTCTTCTATATTAACTTTCAATCCTTAAGGCATCTCCTCCAACAAAGTCTTAGCATACAAATATTTTTTTTTAGTCCTCTCTTTTCCCACTCATCGCTTAGAGCCAGTTTTCACCTAAAAAAAAATAGGTTTCTTAATATTCACTTTTTATTCCGTAGAAAAAGAGGGTAAGCTATCCTTTCAGCACCATCAAACTGCCGCTTTTTTCCTCTTCTCGAAGGTATCATTCAGAAAATCATACTTTTCAGGAATTTTGTTAAATATGTCTTAGAGTCCTAGGAACCAAGAAAAACTTTCTCCTTTCAAGCACTTTCTCCACTTCCTCCTGCGCATTCTTACCCGGCTGCCAGCTTCTTTGTGGCGGCCATTACGGACCGCCGCTGCACCGTCCTGGGAAAAGGGGGTTCTGCCGGCCGGGGAGGGGGTCTGCAACACCCCCAAACCCCTCTCCGGATCCCCCTAACCTTCAGCTGCCCCTGCAGGGCAGCCTAGCTCCGTACCCATCCGGATCGGAGCCCCAAAAACGGCTAGCGCGGCAGGGATCGCGCAGCTTCGCAAATCCCTGCCGCTCACGAAGCCGACAAACCGGAAGTCCCGCCCATGGCGTTTTCTTGTTGAGCAAACAGTGTAATGATTCCGCGATGGATGCTTTCTGTCTCAGGAAAACACTGTAGAAGTTAAGGAGCCCCAGGAAGGCTTGGAGCTCTGTTCTGTTTGTGGGCGTTGGAGCTTGTTTGATCACCTGCGTCTTTTCATATATTTTTTTCATTTTTTTCATTTTTTTCATTTTTTTTAAATTTTTATTGGTTTTTAAAACAAACATAAACAAACAAAACATAAAAACATCAAATCATCTTCCATATATGTACATACAGTGTGCCCGTTGGTTTACAAATTGTTTTGTGCTTCCATTTCATAGTCTTCAATTATAATTACATTGTATATAATCTCGTATTTTCAATCAATATATTAAATACATTAATATCATTATTAATCAATCATTTGACTA